TGAATCATCTGAATACTTTCCTTGGAGGAATGTTCGGCTTACTGCAAAATCTATTCAGATTCATTGCTCAACTTGCTCAGTCATTTTGAATGCGACAGCCACACAGTACACGTGCTCAATGGCATCTACAGCCCCCACTGACTAGTACAGTGACGTCAACATTGTTAACGCATGTACATTCCAGTCCATTCTCCTTAGCTGCTAGGTTATATTGATGTTGTACAAACTGTTCTGGTTACATTAACACTGGTTGGACTCTTTGCAGACAGACATCATTCACCAACCACCTCATGAATACTTAAAGAATACTTAAAATCTCTTTCTATATTTTATTTTTAGAAGCAAGGAAGTGGGTTTAAGATTATATAAGTAATAGTTAAAAATGAAGATCTTTTACTGTTGTCTTATGGTGTTAGACATCACTTGACTATAAACTCTCCTTTAACGAGGATGTGATTTGGAATTTAGGTTGTAATTCGTAGGTAAACACTGGACCTGTACCTTAGAACTGCATTTTTGTAGAAGTGCGTCAGTTATATTTTCTGACTTTAAATTTTCACTTGGTTTAGAGCCAGAATGAGTTGTAATTACACAGAGCAGTATGGAAGACAAATAACATATAGACTGATTTGGCAGGGAAGGCAGTGGTAAATGACAGAATACAGGGAAAAGACTTAAGGAAATAGGGAACAGAAAGAAGGTGGTTTGAAAGATACTTTACCTAGGGCTTACTCAGTTTACCTTTTAGAGACTACAGGACTGGATCTGCTTTATCTCTGTTTTCATTAAAACCACATTGAGAATCCTTCCACAATTTTAGTGTAATGTGAAATTTTAGTGTAAGTAGTGAAAACATATTTATAGTCATTCAGTTAACAGATTTTACTAAAGGCTCACTGGAGTCAAGTTCCATTTTAGATCTGGGGGATATGGAAATGGGAGATGGAGGTGAGGAATGAGCTAAGAAGGCATTTTAGAGAAAGTGAGACAAGATTGAGATCTGAAAAATGAGTAGATAATAGCCGTACAAAGTACAGAGGTGCGGAGCTAATATGGGTCTGGAGGAGAAGATGGGAGAGTATTGATACAAGGCAAAGGACCTTGTAAATCATGTCAGGGGAGTTGACTTGATTCTCAGCACAAATGGATGCTTAATGACATGAACATATTGGCATTTTGCAAGAATCACTGTGGTAGTGAGGTTGGGAAATGAACTGTAGAAGGTAAGACAAGTGGAGATAACCAGTTAGGACATGGTTGCACTAATTCTGGTGAAAGATAGGAACAGGGAGGTTGGACTAAGGTAGTGGAGATGGAGAGAAAGAAAGGGATGGATTCAACAGATATTCTTTTTAAGTATGTTTTATAGATTATGCTATTACAGTTGTCCCATTTTTTTCTCCTCCTTTGCCACCCTCCACCCAGTACCCCCATTCCTTCCAGCATTCCCCCATCCCCCTTAGTTCATGTCCATGGTGGGGGGGTCATACATACAAGTTCTTTGGCTTCTCTATTTCCTATACTATTCTTAACCTCCCCCGTCGATTTTGTACCTACCAATTTTGCTTCTTATTCCTGTACCTTTTCCCTCATTCACTCCCTTCCCCCTCCCCACCGATAACCCTCCATGTGATCTCCATTTCTGTGATTCTGTTCCTGTTCTAGTTGTTCGCTTTGTTTGTGTTTGTTACTGTTTTTTTTTTTTTAGGTTTAGTTGTTGGTAGTTGTGTTTGTCATTTTACTGTTCCTAGTTTTGATCTTCTTTTTCTTAGATAAGTCCTTTTAACATTTCATGTAATAAAGTCTTGGTGATGGTGAACTCCTTTAACTTTACCTTATCTGAGAAGCACATTATCTGCCCTCCCATTCTAAATGATAGCTTTGCAAGAGAGAGTAATCTTGGATGTAGGTCTTTGCTTTTCATGACTTTGAATACTTCTTTGCAGCCCCTTCTTGCCTGTAAAGTTTCTTTTGAGAAATCAGCTGATAGTCTTATGGGAACTTGTTTGTAGGTGACTCTGCTTTTCTCTTGCTGCTTTTAAGATTCTCTCCTTATCTTTAATCTTGGGTAATTTATGATACGTCTTGGTGTGTTCCTCTTTGGGTCCAATTTTTTTGAGACACTCTGAGCTTCCTGGATTTGTATGTCTATTTCTTTTGCCAGACTGGGAAAGTTTTCTTTCACTATTTTTTCAAACAAGTTTTCAGTTTCTTGCTCTTCCTCTTCTTCTGGCACCCCTATGATTTGGATGTTAGAACATTTAAAGTTGTCCCAGAGGTTCCTAAGCCTCTTCTCATTTTTTTTTGAATTCTTGTTTCTTCATTCTGTTCCAGTTGAATGTTTATTTCTTCCTTCTGTTCCAAATCATTGATTTGAGTTCCAGTTTCCTTCCCTTCATTGTTGATTCCCTGTATATTTTTCTTTATTTCACTTTGTATAGCCTTCACTTCTTCCTTTATTTTGCATCCATACTCAATTATTTCTCTGAGCATCCTGATTACCAGAATTTTGAACTCTGCATCTGATAGGTTGGCTGTCTCCTTATTGCCTAGTTCTTTTTCTGGAGTTGTGATCTGTTCTTTCATTTGGGCCATATTTCTTTGTCTTGGTGCATTTATTATGTCGTAAGGGGCGAAGCCTTAGGTATTTGTCAGGGCGGGGCAACCCACTTTGCTGCGTTGTGGTGCTGTATGTTGGGGAGGGGTGAGAGGGAACAGTGTTGTTTGCTCAGCTCTTGTCCTGCTTTCAGTCATTTCCCACCCACAAGCAAATTGTGCCTTTTCAGGTACTGCCTTTGTGCTGATTCCGGGATGAGTGGGCTTTTGTACAGTCTAGCACCTCATGGGCCCCTCCAACAGACTCTTCTGTGGGACTGGCAGTTTCCGCCACCACAACCCCCAAAGATTTTTACAGCCAGAGGTTTTGAGGCTTTATTTTCCCATGCTGGAACTCTGGGTTGTATAGGCTGTCTTGCTCCCCAGTTGTTCCTCCTGGTTTATCCTCGTGGGAATGTGGGACCACCCTGTCCACCAGCCGCTGCCTTGCTGTGCATCCTCTCTGCCCTATCTGCCCATCTCTGCTCCTCCTGCTAGTCTGGATGTGGATGTTTCTTCAACTCCTTGGTTGTCAGGCATCAATACAGTTCACTTTTCTGACAGTTCTGGTTGTTTTGTGTTTTTAAATTGATTGTTATCCTTCTTTTGGTTGTGCAAGGAAGCAAAGTGTATCTACCTACGCCTCCATCTTACCCGGAAATCCAGATTCAACAAATATTTAAGAAGCCTTAATGGGCAAGACTTAATTGGATGTTGGAGTGAGGAAGAAGGAATATTTTCAGGTTTTTTTGGTTTGGATATTTGGGTAGATGGTGATATCTAAAATAGGGAAATGGGGAAAATAGCAGGGTTTGGGTGGGAGTCGGGGGATCATTAGTTTAGTTTTAGACATGTTGAGTTGGTATCTGAAAGGGAAAACTGTTTCTTCTGTTGGTCTCTACACTTAACACCTATACCCAGGCCACCAAATGTGTGTGTGTGGTGGGAGGTGGGAGGGTTCTGCACACCAGGAAATTCTGTAATTCTTAGAGACACCAACTGGGTGCCCTACAATTCAATTTAGTTCTGACACTGTTCACCTGGAGTTAGCATCAGATCCCACAGATTAAGAGCTTAGTCCCTCAAGATTTCCCCCTCTACCACACTGTCTTCAAGTTACCCACAACTTCTGTCTGACTTGGCTACAAGTCGGGTTTCGATGATCCTTGGACCCAGACATTTGCTCGGACATCTTCCAGAACTCTAAGGGAAGCAGTTTATTTACTGGATTACTGGTTTATTATAAAATGATACAAATCAGTAGCCAGGCGGAAGAGATGCATAGAGCAAGGGATGTGGGAAGGGGTGCAGAGCTTCTTTACTCTGTGCCAGTACCTCTGTATGTTCAGCCCAGAAGCTCTCTGAACCCCAACATTTAAGGGGTTTTTATGGAAGCTTTGTTACATGGGCATGATTGGAGATGGTAAATTCCAACTTTCCAATAACTGGATTGGTTCCCCTGGCAACCAGCTCCCCAAAGGGGATTATTATAAATGACAAAAGACACTCCTTTCACCTTTATACCACTTAGCATTTAGGAAATTTCAAGAGTTTTAAGATGCTGCCAGGAATGGGATGAAGACCAAGTACATATTTCTTATTATAAATTACAATATCACAGTATCTATTAGGTATCTAAGTATAATTATCACAGGTAGTTGGACATAAAAGTTTGGGGACAGAGAAAAGTGGCTGTTTTTGGTTGGTTTTTAGCAGGGAGAGCAAAGAGGAAACGTTTATAGTGAGGTTTATCAGGAAAGAAGCCATATGGGTGGAACAAAGTCTCTTGTGGACTGACATTCATAAGAGAATGGTATATCATCTCATTTATTAATCAATCCGAAACATAACTAATGTATTGTCTGTTGATGTTCACTGTAATCTATTCCTGTCGGCAAACTGACAGAGTGAATCCAGATCACAATCAGAGCATCATAGTGATCACTTCATAAGGTATATAAATGCCCAATCACTATATTGTATACCTGACACTAGTGTAGTGTCTGTCAACTGTAATTGAACATAATTTAATAAAAAAATGAAAAGATAAATTTGAACAAAGCATTATAAAGGAAGTCAGATGGGCTCAATGATGACTGATTTATGTGATGATTTGTTGTGGTCATTTTCCTGTACTACTTGCAGAGGTTTGCTTCTAGAATTGAGAAGAGGGGCTCTTTGCACTTTAATTTTACTTTCACTTTAAGTAGAATTCTAAAATAGTTTGGATATTAATAAAGTTATAAATTTTGCCCTTTTTGAAAAGACATACAGTGATGAGTGTTGTAAACAAAATAATTCATGACTCTTATCATTATTTTTGTACCTAAAAGAAAATAGAGATTATTCACATTAGTAGTTTATTGACATTGTTTAAAATGTTTTCTTTTTTCTTTTTTTTAAAGAAATGGCTGCAATCAACTGACCTCACTAGAGAAGTCTACCAGCATTTAGCTCACTATGTACCCAAAATCTACTGCAGGGGTCCCAACCCTTTTCCACAGAAAGAAGACATGCTGGCACAGCATGTTTTGTTGGGACCTTTGGAATGGTACCTTTGTGGTGAAGATCCTGCATTTGGATTTCCAAAACTTGAACAAGCAAACAAACCTTCTCATCTTTGTGGTCGTGTTTTTAAAGTAGGAGAGCCTACATACTCTTGCAGGTAAAATATCATAATTCTTTTTCTAAAAGGCTCCTGTTTTTACTTGACATTTTTTCCCTGAAATCTTACATCATTGTTTTTCAATTGTGAAGTATATTTATATATAAAAGTATACACAAGTATATGCAGTGTAATAAGTGATTATGGAACAAACTTGATGTAATTATTTTCCAGGTCACCAGCATTCCAGAAACCTACTATATCCCTTCTTCCTAGCCCGTAATTAACTCCTACCTTGACTCTTGCAGTAATGACTTACTTGCTTTTCTTGATAGTTCGGCTTGTGGGAGCTGGGTCACACTAGTTTCTTTATCCTTTTCACATGACTTCCTTCATTCGTGTTTGAGTGTTTCTCTGCTTTCTGGCTCAAGACATCCACAACTCCTTCTTTGCTTACTGTGACCCAGATACAGAATCATGTTACCTGACCAGACCAGGTCCACATGCTCAGTAGTTGCCAGCTAAAAAGATGGTTTTATGAGAAGGAGCTTTATTGTGAACCAGCAAGCAAGGACAAGCATCTAATCCATCTTTATTAGGGGAAATCATGCACAGACATCAAGGTAGACTTTGTCATTGCATGTATAGGTGGGGGCATGCCAGTGCTTGCGCATTCAGGAAACATGCTTAAACATATATCACATGTTCAAAAATGGTAGAAAATCTCCACCCCTGGCGATTTAACAAAATCTCTATTTAACGAAATCATTACATCTGTTCATATTAGCTAATATAACTAGATAATATATTGTGTGAATGTACTATTAATAGAGGCATTGCATAATCTTTTTTGGTATGACTTTTTTCTGTAATTTTGGGGAATGCCTCTGTGTGTGGATGATTAGAATATCAGTAGAGATATTTTTATATATTGAAAGACTGTTAGATCTAGTTTTTTGTCTGTCTTTACAAAAACCTCTTTGAGTCCTTAGTTGATATTTGGAGCAATAGTGCTAGTTTGCCCTCATGATTTACTCATAAATGAGGAAACTGAGGTTCATTTGTCCCGTAACATCTTTTGTAGCAAAAGGAACCGGTTTCAAAGCATCCTTGTGTATGACATGTCTTTTCGTTTTTAATCTGGAGCATTTCCTCAGGTTTTTTTCCTAATTTAATCTTTATTGTATTTTTTCCCATTAACATTTAGTCCCCTTATACCCTCGTCTCCCCAGCAACTATCACACTCTTGTCCATGAGTCCATTTTCCTTTTTGCCCAATCCCTCTACTCCCTCCTCAGTTTTTCTTTGACTTTCCATATCTTGATACTTTTGAAGATTACAGGCCCATTATTTTGTAAATGTCTGTCAATTGGCTTTGTCTGATATACATTACGGTTAGGGTCAGGTTGTATCTATCATAGGAATATCACAGAAATCGCCTATCATATTCTCATATGATTTTGATTTACTTCATAACTGGTAATGTTAACTTCGATCACTTGATTAAGGGGACGCTGCAAGACTTCACTGTAAAGTTACTCTGTAATCAGTAAGTACTTTGTGGGGAGGTATTTTGAGACTATTAAATACATACACTGTTTCTTACAAAACATTCTATCTCTATTTATTTATATTAGTATGTATTCATGGGTCCCATTCGTGGGGTGTTTGTTTGTTTGTTTGTTTTTAGAGATGGGGCAAGGGAGGGACGAAAGAGAGAGGAGAACATCCATGTGCAAGAGAAACACTGATCAGTTGCCTCGTATATACTACCAACTGGGGACCTGGCCCACAACCCAGGCACGTGCCCTGACGGGAATTGGACCAGTGGCCTTTCAGTTTGCCACATAATGCCCAACCCACTGAGAGACATCAGTCAGGGCCCATTATTCTTGTGCTTAAATTGTTCTAGGTTTGGCCCATGAGAGGCCCTTCAAAACTGTTGTTTTTGTTCTTTTTTATCTCCCCATCATTCTTTTGAGTACTTCCTTTTTCTTTCAGACACAAGATGTCTGGGCTATATATCTTGGATGTTTCCCTTCCCCAGCCCTGAAAAATCAACCATTTCCCCTAGGATCCTGCTTTCTTTTTCGTAGAGATTAGTGTTTAGAGGTAGGATACTAGGTGTACTTGTTGCTCTTGGGTATGTCACTAACCCCAGGCCCTCTCAGTGGATATATATCTATAGATAGATATTGAGTTACTGAAAGCCATGCATTTACAGTGATCTCTTCAGTTCAAGTTCCATACCACAGAGTTCTCGTTTTCTCCCTTTGCATAGTTGAGACTTCCTTCTAATGAACCTGATTCCCATCCTAAAAATATTTACTTATTTGATAATTCACCTGTATGAAACTATTCTCTTGCTGAGGTGCTGCTACTGGCACCCAGCTCTGCATAATTGCCATCCTTTGCCTCATGTGGGCTTCACACTGTGTGCTGGGCCATAGTGGCCTTCCTCCCAGTCCTTATTAGGGCAGATATAATAATCTCACTTTAGAATGCATGGTCTTTAATTCCAGTCATGGCTTTTCTGGTATCTCAGCAGGATTCTATCTTGATCGGAATTCCAAAATCCTTTCGCTTGCCTTTCAGTATCTCTGTGCCACTCTCAATTCCATAGCAGCTGCTCTCCAGTAAGTACAGAGAGTGTCGCCTTGTGCATGTCCTGCCCAGCCTTCAGCCAAGAACACATTCACTGGTAAATCCCACATAGACTGCTGCCCCTCCCTGGCCCCTTCCCTCTTGGACACATTCCATCTTTCTGGTGCCCTGACCCTCAGCTATTTTCGCTTGCCCCAAACTCTGATCTAGACTCAGCTCAGCAGAACCTTTGTGCACTGCCTAGACTCTAGGCCATTGTGCCACAGGTGGGAATTTGCCGCCTTGGTAAGAAACGGGACCATCATGGGGTTCAGCTCATGAATTTCCCTTCTTTTCGTTATTGTAGTCTAGGCTGCCTGTTCAGTGCCTTTAGGTAGTTGCCCCGTGTATTCGTCTAGTTTTATGGTGGTGTGCAGTGGGAGGGTTAGTTCAGTACCAGTTAGTTATTCTATTATAACCTCAAGTGAAAGTCCCTTTTTTCATTTTTTCTCTTTTATTTTCAAATACTGGCCTTGTGAATTTTTTACTCATTTTAATGAAAATGAGGGAAAACTGGGAAATACTGAATTTTTAATGCTTAATTTAGTTCTGAATTCTGAGATATTCTTTATTGTTAAAATATTAGTATATAAAATGAAAGCAATGACATAATTAGGTAGTTTTGTTTTTAATGTTTTTACAAAAAAAAAAAAAAACCAAACTAGCAGCCCTGGTTTTGGTTATTCTACTGGTCCCTGAAACTCCAAAATATTGGAACTTCTACACAGTAGCACTATGACTCCTAACCAGAAAATCAAGTTGCACTGCAATACTGTTTCTGTACCACAAAGTACATACAAAAAAATACTAAAAATCATAAGTAGGCTGAAGAGCTTTTGGTGACACAGTTGTGGACTTGGCCTGAACCCCTTTCTCCCTCACTATCTTGTCAGAGTACTACGTAACCCACTCTTTCCCAGTTGCAGGTGTTTGGCACATGTAACACTGCTTTATACTCATTAGGAAGATGCTCAGTATGTCTAGTACATTGTTTAAAACACAGAGGAGTTTTCTTTTTATAAATTTTATTTATTTTAGAGAGAAGGGATGGAGAAAGAGAGGAAGAGAAACATAAGTGTGTGAGAGAAATAGGGACTGGTTGCCTCTCTCACACTCCCAGCTGGAGACCTGGCTCACAACCCAAGCATGTGCCCCAGCTGGGATTCAGACTCCTGAGCTGCACCACCCAGGATGAGGATAGTTTTAAAAATGTTCTTTTGCTGTTCCTACTTTAAATTACTTTTGTATTCCTATTTGTTGTACATTTCCATACTTTTTTTTTCTTTAAAGGATTTATTTTTAGAGCGAGAGAGGGAAGGAGACATCAATGTGTGCTTGCTTCACACGCCCTAATCTGGGGATCTGGCCCACAACCCTGGCATGTGTCCTGACTGGAAATCGAACCAGCGACCTTTTGGTCCGCAGGCTGGTGCTCAATCCACTGAGCCACACCAGCCAGGTGGCAGTGTCCTATTTATTGTAAACTAGCTGTTTCATAGGATTTACTCATGGTTATATACAGGAAATGTTTCCATTCTGAATATACAAGTATTTTAAACCAAATACTTAGCCTTCAGATAAGATACTGAGCCATGAATAATATCAGAGGAACATAGTTTTGTTATTTTTCTATCTGGAAATAAAAAGCTCTAATATGGAAGAACCAGTTAATTCTAGTAGGAAGTATTGTTTAAGACATCATCTTTTTAAGTCTTATTTTTAGAGAGAGCTGAAGAGAGGGGAGAGAGTGAGAGAAACATCGATTAGCTGCCTCTTGCACGTCCCCAGTCAGGGACCAAACCGCAATGCAGACCTGTGCCCTGACGGGGAATCAACCAATGGTCTTCTGCTTTACGGGGCTGTGCCTGACCTACTATGCCACACTGGTCAGGGCAAAGACTTGACCTTTTCTTTGACAGAGTTCTATCTTACAATAAGACTTCTTTTTTTGGAAAAAGCATGCTTGGAAAGTCTTCTACTTTTTTAACTGCATCTCTCTATTACCACTTACACCCTTACACCCTTCTGCGCCATCAGCACTATTGTCCATGACCGTGAGTCTTTTTTCCTTGTTCTCTACCCCCTAACCATGCTTGCCCTCCAAGAGCTGTCAGCCTGCTGAGTCTGTCTCTATTTTGTTTATTCAGTCTGTTCACTAGATTCCACATGAGTGAAATCATATGGTATTTGTCTTTTTCAGACTGGCTTATTTCACTTAGCATAAGTTCTCCATATCCATCCATGCTGCTGCAAAGGGTAAAATTTTTTTACAGCCAGGTAGTATTCCATTGTATAAATGTCCCATAGTTGTTTCATCCACTCATCTACTGATGGAGACTTGGGCTGCTTCCATATCTTGGTGATTGTAAATAACACTTCAATGAACATAGGGGTGCTTATGTTCTCTTGAATTAGTG